TCCATGGCTATATAGTATTTGATACATATTTTTTAAAGTTGAGAATGTAATTTTATTGGATGTTGATGCAATTAATATATAAATAGAATATTTTACCTCTTTTACAAATAAAATTAAACTTTCTAGTATATAGCATTTATGTTAACAAATTATATTTAGTTATTGGTTTAGAATCCATGGCTATATAGTATTTGATACATATTTTTTAAAGTTGAGAATGTAATTTTATTGGATGTTGATGCAATTAAAATCAAATTATTTAGTTGGATAATATGGGCGAGACCTTGATGAATATTGTTAATGGCGAATGGGTTTTATTGATGTGGATGTTGCTCGACAGATAGGCTTTATATATTAGTGAGAATTATGGATATTTTATCAAGGGAAAAGTCAAACTTTTAGGAGAAACTCTATCGAATTTTCGATGGAATTTTTAGAATATTATTCTTAGCAATTTAAATTTTATAAATAAGTAGAAATAGTTATTGATTCGAACTTGTTTATTTCTTTAGCTGGTAATAGAGCAAGACCTTCTTCCTCTTCCGCTCCTGGTGTTCAATAAGGCTAGAATTTTCGAATCTCTCTGTGAGTAATAATATATATATAATACTTTACCAAACTCATAAATTCATAATTCATTTTTTTAAAATTTCAATTAATTTATTTATTGTCAAGTAAATTATATATATATATGGATGTGCGTTAATAAATTATGTGAATGGTTGCTTTGTATTTAATGTGATTTGATTATTGTGTGGGAGTTGGGACAACACAGATCACCTGGGGTTGAGAGCATGAGCATGGTGAGAATGTCGTCAGTGCGCCGTAACTGGTGGGAGTGCCACCCCCTTGTGCACTCCGAATTATGACATGCATGAAAAATATTTTTATAAAGAAAATATTTTATGAAAATAAAAATATATTTTTATCTGATTGTGATTTGATATTAAAGCATGCTTGGGAGAGCATGGACCTGTTAAGGTGATTCTACTGACTAGAAACCACTTGATGTGTATTACGGTTGCTATTGTTTGTGGGTGCTATGATTGATATTGCGTGAATGATGAATGCTCATTTAGAAGAATCTAGGTACATATCGTGTGAATGCTTGGGTTTAGTATTATATGTTATTATTCACTGAGCTTTATACTCACTCTTGCTCCCTTTAAATGTTTTAGGAAACTGAACTCCATTTTGCATCTATGAAGCTCTGTTCTTTCTTCCTCCATGGAGTTTGTTGAAGTAATAACTAGATGTGTGTAGTTGTTCCTACTTAGCTAGGTTCCTCTAATATTTGCAATAGTTGTAGATATCCGCAGTTACTATAGAATTGTTATGTGTGTGACAATAATAATAAATACGTGTGGACTCTATTTTGATAAATTTGAATCTATGGTTGAAATTATGGGTTGAAAATTTGACTAGAGCCCAATGAATTATAATTATAATCTATGGTTGAGATTATAGTTATATTTTGTGAATGCATTGCTACAGACATGAGAAAATTGATCGAGAATAAGCGATGAATATGTATATTGGTATTTGAATTAGAACCTTGAAATGATTAAGATTGCCATTATTATATTAGGTTGTCCAATCGAATATTTTTATTTGGCTTGTCTTCTTGAGATATCTCCATAGATTTGTTGATCGATAAATAGTGTTTCAGGCTTATTACGGGTCTCGATAACCTTAAAACCTACCTGAGCTCTAGTGCCGGTCTAGCCCATGGAAACGGGTCGTGACAATGTCCCTGGTGTTTTGTATTATGTATATATTATGCATGTGCTAGATGGTTTGCTAAATATTTTGAAAATATATATGTGTGTGTGTTTGTTTTATTTTGTCGTCAATATGCTTCTTTGCTTTCAATATTAAATTTTCCATATAAATCTAGTTATTCAAATGAATTAAATTAACATAGATGATTACTTATTTGATGGGTAAATGAATCCTATTACCTTTGAAGGTCAGCACAACCATCCTCAACTCTAATGCTTCATTCTGCATAAAAAAAAATTTTACTTTGACTTCACTTGCAAAGTATATCACTTGTTAAATATAAAATATTTGAAAAGGATTACAAAAACTATGAAAAATTATTAATATCAGATTGATTTTGCCTAAATGTTTTTGTCCCTGTTTTTTTTTTTAAACAGAGCTTCCTTTTTAGAGTCTGATTGCTATTAGACTCACTTTGCCTAAATATTTTCTTTCTTTTTTATTTTTTTATTTTCTCATGCAACCTCCCTTTGTATATAAAAGTTTTGTTTTTGAGCCTGTTAAGTTTTGGTAACAAAGCACATTGCTCAGCATGGTGACTAGGATTCAATCACTCTTCATGTCAATTTTTAATCCGTTCTTGTTTATCGCCTCTTCAATTTTCCTTTTCTAAATCTTTTTCATTTTTCTTAATAAAAAAATTCAAACGTGTGAAAAATCGTCGTTTTTGGACGACACAGACCCTTTATTAAAATATATAAATTTGAAGCCCAACATATTTATTTTAAGAAGCCTAGGCCAAACCCTTCATAAAAATACATGAAATTGACGCCCACATTATTTAATTTAAGAAGCCTAGGCCCAATTCCATATCAGTACAGACAAACAATCCTAAAGAACTTGAAAGAAGACAACCCCTAACCCTTCTTCGTCAATTTCATTTGAACACATAGAATCATTACTCCCTGTATCATCCTACCTAAACTAGTATGAGTTCAGTAAAATACATGCCATGGACAGTACAATGAAAATCTTCAGGTAGCCAATTGATCCATTGATGACCTCAATCTTCATCCTCAACCTTCTAATTTCATCATGCAGCAGTATCACCCCATCCTTCAACAACTTAACTCTCTCACATCGGTTCTTTCCCTTACTTCAGCTCCAACGGTTTCCTGATTATTTTGTGTCGAATGCAAATTCTTAGTAGGTTTGCAGCAACCCAGAAAAGTCCGACATTCTTTCTGCTGGCAGTAATAATATAAGGGATTTTTGTGCTTACTTGTCTCTGAGATACGAATCCCAACTTTCTTTCCGCATTTACAGTATGCATTCAGATATCTTGCTTCCCATCCACTGGCAGTTGCCCTAGATGAGGCATAGAACGTCATTGATGCATGAGCCTCATTGTAATTTGAGATGTGAAAAGGATATGCATTTAAATGGAATAGTAGCGCCCACAGGCAAATTATTTATTGTGGTCATTAATATATTATATAAAAAACAAAACTTTATAGCCCTTCTTGCAAAAGTGATCAAGACTTTATTACTAAGGGTATGTTGGGCAAAGGTGTTTGAGTGTTTAGAGTTTTGACGTATTACATTATTCGATGAGATACTTTATAAAACTGCTTTCAGTGAATAATGTAGTATTTAGTGAAATATTATCCCGCCTAACTGTTTAGTTTCACTTTTTTATTAAAATTTATTAAGAGTCTTGTTCTTATTTTAAAACTCTTTTTATTATTTTAATTGCTGTGTGAATTCCTTCCTCAGTTAGTTAGATATCAAGAAGTAATTAAACTGTTCAAGACCTGGTTGTTATGATACTGCAAAGATACCTCCTTTTATATAGCTAGACTATACACTATAGATTGACATTCTTTTGATAAAAAATTAATAACACATCACATAATCATTTCTTTTTTTTTTATTATATTGAGTTCACTTCTATTGTCATAACTTAAAATTTTAACGTAATATTCAAATGTCTTTTTCTTGTCATTTTAGATTCAACAGTTAATCAAACAGTTATTTTCACCGAACGCTTTTGCTCTAAACAGCTATATGAATAATTAACAACTAATATCTAACAGCTAACAGCTACTAAAACAACTAATCTTGCCGAACAAGCCCTAAGATTGTGTTCAGTAATAACTTTTTAATAGTTAAACGCTATTTTTAATAGTGTTTGGGAACATAGCGTTTGAACTAACTTTTAGAAGTTAATGTAGTGTTTTATAAAAAGTTAACTCATATAATACTTAACTTTTAGTGTTTTATGAAAAGCTACTCAAACAACTAACAGCTAAACACTAATTTTACCGAATTGATCCTAAGCATGAGAGATAATGAAATTCAAATTTCCATATATCTCTATACAAACGCTAACATACAAAGGGCAAAAAAAGACATTTCAGGAGGTTTAGTGAAAATGGTTTGGATCATCATGATCCATATAGCATCGCTCATAATTAAATAGTACAAGTTCAATGGTTTCTTGAAATTTTAATTTTATTCATGACTAATTAAAATATTTTCCTTATTTTTCTGTTAATGTTTTTCCTTATAGCATTCTTATATTTTTTTTTTCTTCAAGTAGAGGGATTTAATTATACTTTCTTTGACTTTTGAAATATTCGCTGCTTGTGAAAATAAAATACTATATTTATTTCATAAAATATTATCTCTATTTCATAATATTTATTACATTTCGAATATTTTGTCTCTTAAAAAAACCATTAAATTTGTTTAAGTTACAACAATTATTGAGTAAATTGACTATATTACCTTTAATTTAATACTAATTCTCTAAGAAAACCATTAAATTGAAGTAATAATTAGTGGTCATATACAAAGGATAAACATGAAAAAACTATATTACCTTTAATTTATACTACCTTTAATTTAATACTAATTCTCTAAGAAAACCATTAAATTGAAGTAATAATTAGTGGTCATATACAAAGGATAAACATGAAAAAAAAAAAAGATTTATTATTCCTCGAAACCTCAAATATGACAAGTATTTTGCAATAAATTATTTGTTCAAATACGATAAGTATTATAGAATCTCAAATGTGAAAATTATGGAAACGGTGATAATAGCATTAGAAAAATTAAAAGATACACATGCATGTTTTTTAGAGCAGAACTGAAAACATTTAAATAAAAGAGAGTAAACAACAGAACTCAACTTTTGTGCTTTTATTTTATTTTTTTAACCTCCAATTTTCTTTTTAGTTAAATTAAAAGAGAAGGAAACAACAAAAAGAAAAGCTTAAAAAAGAAAATTTGGAATTATATAATCTTTCTTTTCCCAAAAACAAACTCTAAAGTCAAGACAAACATCAACCCTCCACTCAAACAGAATAGTTACAAGAAACAGAAGTTAATGTTGTGGAACAAGATGGAGAAGTTGAAGCGGAAGACAACCTCTCTTTCCCATTCTCATCTGCAGGGTTGGCATCATTTCCGAAGCAACAAGCATCAAATATCAAGTCAATATTGTCTTCAAAGCCTGTGTCATCCAACAAGTCTGGTAACTCACAGCCATTTGCTAGTGGTAGGTCAGGCACAGGGAGCGGAACTAACCCCGAATCGAGACAGAAGCTCCAAGTAAGCTCGTGCTCTTCTATAGGGTCCATAACGATCATAGTACAAGTATCCATACATGGAGGATGTTGTGGGCATTCAGTTTCAAGCAGCTGTGGTGAGACTATTTCTTCGTGTAATGGTGTTATTGATGGTGATGGTGGTGATGGCAACGGTAAGGGTGAGGTTCGCTCGATTTCTTCTGACTCTTTTGAGCCTTTAGAAAGTGTTTCTGGTAGGATTTTATCTAAAGGAATGCCTTTCTTCTTCAAACGGTCTATGTAATGGCTGACATCAAAATTGGTTACTGCATTTGCTCCTCTGTACTCTATTGCTGCCATATCATATGCTGCTGCTGCCTCTTCTTGTGTATCTTTAACGACAACAAATAAATTAATATTCAGAAAGAGAAACAAAAACAAGAATAAATAAATTCATATCTACCTGTTTTCCAATATATACGCTGAATCATTTTTGATAATGTGACACAAGGTTAAGAAATTTAGTTGCTTAGCTTTTTTTTGTTTTTTCTTAAATTTTTTTTATTATTTTTTATTTGATTATCTAATTATCTAATTTGGAGAAACTAAATTATAAAATCTTCATTGTTTTTCCAACAAGTAATACTCCATAAAAACTAATTAATAAGTATATTGTACTATTAAGGAAAAACTCTTTAATTTCTTTTCAATAATTAATAAGCCAAACAATAAATTTTTAAATTTATTGTTTTAATGATAAAACTCTTTAATTTATTTTTTCAATAATTACTAACCCAATAATAAATTTATTGCTATATATTTTCAATCTCTTTCACACATAACAATAAGTAGTTGTTAAAATATAATGCAATTTAAATTCTTAAAACAAAAAATAAAATTGGACATTTCGAGTACCTCGTGGTCATTTGACCAGTATATCTAAACTATATAAATGTTAGAAAATCATTTTAATAAAAAGTGAAATATGAAAATTTAAAATAAATATATAAAAATTACTACATCCATTCTGTCAATCTGAATATATATATAAATACATATCTGTGTGTGTGTGTGTGTCTGGATTTTCAAGATCATTATAGTTAATTTGAAGACTACAGATTTTTTTTTTTTTAAGGAAAATTATAAAAATTTAATTTATTTAATTTTGATTGGTTTGGTTCAATTTTCATTTAAAGTCCCATGCGAGGGTTTTCTGTTGACAAAACTGAGCACGCCGTACAATATCTTTCCTTATACTTTTTCTTGTTCTTGTTGAGAAGAACGTGCATCCATGTAAGGGGGGATGTGAGTGTCACGTGGCTATCACACGGTATATTAATTAGTGATTTACAGTAGCGGGAAAGTGACGCCAAATCTAATTTTGGGATCTGACGACCAAAAAGAGTAAAGGTTTAGGTTTCCTTTATTTTCTTGTGTACATCGTGGACCTGGCGCAGTTCCAGGCAATATATTGCAATCTATTCCATGCAACTATCCAAGTGTGCACCACGACAACCCACACTCATAACATTACTGACAATTTCAGAACTCATATTGTCATTACCATTTTCGGTTTAAAAAGAAAAATTCCAAAACAAACTGTAAATACAAAATTTTAATTTCAATTTGAAAAAAAAATCAGAAACCATAAACTACAGTTAGATTCTAGTTTTAATCGGTTTTGACTCTAATTGGATCTAATTCAAAATCAAAAATCGAACATGGTTATGCCTAGTTCCATCATATAATTGCTCAAACGCTGCCATGTACGCTCAAGGGAGTGGAAGAGAAAAACTTACCTACTCTACCTAGGACCACATAGGACCGAACCAATAAAATTTAATATTTTTATTGAAACTATGTAATTTCTAGCTATATATTAAAAAAAATAAAATAAAATCAGAAAACTTTTGAGAAAATTTTTAATTTCATTTATTTTGTCTATGAATAGAGCTATAAATTCAATCTAAATAATTATTTTCGAGATGGAAATTAAAAGGAGCCCGAGCCCCCAACTTTATAAATTTTTTAAAATTTTTCTTATAATAATAAAAAAATAAAAAATATATTTGATCTAATTTAGATGTGACACGACTTTTACTGTATCCAACTAAAAATGTCCTTGAATGTATACTGTAGGCAAAATTCGCTGTGTAAATCTATTTTAAATATTTTAGCCTGCCACTTAGACCCGTTTAGCGCTACTCTAAAAAATCTGAGTTCGCTATCGTTAATTTTTGAAAATAAAAAAAGAAAAATTAATCTAGATGGTAAAAGAAAGTAAAGAGCATCTTTGCTCTTAACAATCTGATGGGCGGATTGGAGTTATTATGAAAACGGGGCGCCACGTTAGGTGGATTACTGACACTGACAACTTTGAGTTTGGCATCCAGTCAGTGTAAAGTTGGCCCTATTATGTTACTAATTGATATGCTCCCAAAGCAAAAGAAACGTACCTTTTGCAATTCCGTTCTCAAAACTAGGGTAAGCATTTGCTCTCTTAGGTTCAAATTAAACTGATTAATGAAACCGAATAAATCAAATTTTTTATATAGCAAAAAATGAATTATTTCAATTATTTATCGAATCAAATCAAACAGTTTAATTGAAAACTAAATCAAATTTGTTAAAGAATTAATATAATCTATCAGTTCGATTTGATTTTATTTAGTTGACTTTATTGGCTTTTCCTCTATCTTACTCAACTCTATATAAAATGAGAACTATTTTTCCTTTCCTTATTTTTCTATGAAAAAGCAAAATTATGAAATGGGCACCGTGTCAAAATATTATGCACATTTTCTTCTTTATTTTTTTGGGTTTATGACAATTGTGTTTAAATATGTTTAATTTGGTGAACTAATAATCTACTTAGAACAAATTTCTTTCTTGTTAAGAGAAAACAAAACACACACACAGGCAAAAACACAACAGAACGAATATAAGGGGAGAGGGAGCTTACTGTAAGTTCCGAGGTAGAGATACTTATTGCCAAAAACCCGGCCAATTCGAGCTTCCCACCGGCCATTGTGATGATGCCTATGAAAAATTGAAAACAAAATCTTACATTTGGAGCAATTAGATTTCAGCTGATGAATATTAATTTACAGTCATAATACCTAGCTACTCCCCGGTACTTAGAAACTCCTCTTGAAAATCCACTGCTTCTCCGTCGAAGAGATGCTAAGTACTCTTCCTTGCTCATCTTTTGCATCTCTTCAAGCTCCTTTGAGTATGTTTCTATCTGCACCATTTAATTAATTACTATAAGGTTAAAAGTAATTGGTAATTCTTCAAACTATTTTTCTGGCAAATGCAAAGATACTGGTTAATTCAAACAAGAAAACATTAAAAAAATCAATTTTAAATATGATTAATTAGATGATAGTAACATTTATTATAAATATAGTAAACTGGATCGTCGTCAAAAACACTAATTTTGACTATATATATAAACACCTATTTGACTATAATAATATATATATATATATAGTATAGTATAGTTCAAATAATATTTTATAATAGGACAAACCGTCGCTTAAATACTTTTTCTTTGAAGAATATATTCAAATAATATTTTATAATAGGACAAACCGTCCTTTAAATACTTTTTCTTTGAAATACGGCAATTAGAAGTAAGCTCGGTCAATTGGAGCGAGAAGCAATGAGGCGAAATATATGTTCAACTTATTAATTATTTAATTTTATCAAAATTTAGTAAAATGATAAAATTAATTGAACTAAAGACACTCATTATAAAACAGTAACTTAACCCCAAGAGTTAATTTGGTTACTAAGTGGATTTGCTTCCCAATTTATTAAAATGATAAAATTAATTGAAAAAAAAAAATTTGTTACCGGAAAATTCAAAGTGGTGTCTTGTCCCCAGTACTTGAGAGCAGCAAGATCATAGGTATGAGCAGCTGCTTCCTCATTGTCGTAAGCCCCTACATTTATCAATTTAATAAAAAAAATAATTAATTAATTAATTTCCTTAATCACTCCCTTTAAAGAAATTAAATTAAAGTATTGGGATTTTGAGATCATAAACATGTACTCACCCAAATAAACTAAGCCGCGACAAAAGTGTACATGAACGTTACAGTGACAGATTATCAGGAATAAAACATGGTCAGAGCACAAATATAAAATTATATTCCAAAAAAATATAGTAATTAAAAAGAAAAAAGGATTACAGATCTCCTTGATTTTTGTATAATAATAATAATAATAATAAAGTAATTAGTGAATCTAATTAAGCTAACCTTGCCTTCCTTTCTTGTTTTGAATGTTATTCCAAGAACTCTTATCCCAAAGATGAGCTTCAAACCTTCCAGTCCATCTATGCCTGTTTTGATTAATCCAAAAAAACACAAGAAAATAAGAAAATGCATGTCATATATATATCAAAATTAATGAAGAAAGTAAAAAACCAATAGCCCATTGAATCATCCCAGGCAAATTTTCGCTGTAAGATAAAAAAAAAAAAAAAATTATAGATACCGGGTGACTCCTCTGTAAATGGAGCTTCTCCTACCGCCGCCGCTTGGACTGGTGGTAGTAGCTGTAGTCTGACATTTATCTTGCTTGGTTTGAATTTTTCGAATGCGTTTGGATTTTGATTTCTCTGATCGTAATTGATGGTGATTAGGAGGAGATACTGAATCTAAGCAAGAAGACGAAGCAGAACAAGCAGAAGACGAAGAAGAGGATGGAGAAGAAGAAGAAGAAGAAGAAGAAGAGCAAGATGAAGCAGAAGACCTCTTCATTTTACTCTTTCTTCTTCCTCTTTTACTCTTACAATGAGAAATACAGAACTCAATGCAAGAATTAGATATGGTTAGGTTTCTTTTGGTGCAGATTTTGTGACTTTAGAAGAATGAAGAGAAGTGATATTTTTCCCTTTCTGGTTACCAAAAGTGGTTTACCAAAACAAGGAGAGACATAGAAACAAGTACAAGTGAAAGGAATTTTATAAAAAAAAATAAAAGCCAGAGACAGTATTTTGTGGTTGTTTAACTATAGGCTAACAGAAGTTGGGTTAACTAACCCTTGTAATGGGTTAATTTAGCGCCCAACACTTGGCTTCAGCTACAGCCATGCTACCAATGGGACTTTTAGCTCCATGTTGTGTGACAGAATCTCACTATTTAAAAAATAATTAAAAAAAATTTCTCAAGAAAAATGAAAGCAATACTGAAAAGGTTTATTTACCATGAGTAACACATATGTCAGGTCGTTTTGTGTCTGTTATGTCTGCGCATCACTTGATTTATGTGTTTGTGTCGTGTGTCACTTAACTAGCCAACGTGCAAAAGTATATCTGAATATTTCAAGAACTGTTAACTCCATATTGTATTTAAATTACCAAACATCCAAATAATGTGTGAATACTCAGTGGATTCAGTTGGAACCGGATCCAATAAGTGCAAATCGAATAAATTAAAATTTTTTAAAATAAAAATTATATCAATTTATTAGTATATATGTAAAATTGAATTGCATTGATGAAAATCAGTTCAATTCAGCTAATTAATTTGATTTTTAAGTTTTATAAGGTTTAATAAATATTAAATTAAATTAAATATGCTAAAAATTCAATTAAAATGAATTAAATCGATTTGATTTGGTGGATTAGAACTGATTTCTTTAAATATATCCTGTCACTTTCAAAACAACTGTTTAGATTCGTATATGTCTCATCATAATCTCAAAATGGCATCAAATTTGTGAATTCAATTATAGGCCATATTCATTTGAAGGCTATGTGCAACTCATGAATACGTAATCAACTTCTGTTTGTTTGTCTTTTTAGTTTTATTTTCAATTCTCAATCATATAAGATTCGATAAATAGAGTTTGACATGATTAATGTCATTTTCTTCATAGACCACGTTTCAATTTCCTAATAGGGCATGTTTAAAACATGGAGCCTCCGACAACATATTTAACTGAATTATCTCTACAACAATTTGTATATTTATTAGGGGATGACGCATAATTATTTTAATAAAAACTTTTATTATTATTATTATTATTATTATTATAGAGCATTCAGTTATTTCATAAAAATTTTATCCTTTCTTTGCTCCACGAGTATGTGTTTCCATGATTCTATTATCCAGTTAATTTTATTTCAACTAATTTCTATTTTATGAGTATATATTTTTCAGATTAACAAATGTTTTTTATTATATAAATTTAATTTTTATTTCATCTAGAGAAAGCCATCTTTTTTTTAAAAAAAATATCTTTGTCAATTGATTCAACGGTATTTCTTTAGATAGAAACAGTTTGAAAATATTGATAATTATTTTACACAAATTAAGAAAATATAATAATATTGTTTAAACAATAAATTATTATCTCTATATGTCCTAATATATCCCTAGATCTATATTTGATGTGACTTTCAATAAAGAATCAAAGGATTATTATTATATTATATATGTTTAAACATAAATTATTATCTCTATATGTCCTAATATTCCCTAGATGCTATATTTGAATGTGACTTTCAATAAAGAATCAAAAGATTATTATTATTATTGATTATTATTATAATTATATTATAATAATATTATTATTATTCATTGAGAAATTTTATCTTTGGTTTTATATTATTTTCAATAACATGTGAGCCTACAGTAATAAAAATTATTATTATTATTATTATTATTCATTGAGAAATTTTATCTTTGTTTAATATTATTTTCAATAACATGTGAGCTACGTAATAAAAGATAGTCATCTCCATAACTCATTAAATTGGTGAATAATTCCTGTGATTGAGAAAATTTAAATATAACCTATTTACTATATTAGTGATGAGACCTATCAAACCACACTTCATCGGTATCACATGGCAAATGTTGATAAAATACACATAAAAATAAGTGTATATTAGAAAAAGTACTAAGGTCCTTCTTCTGACAAATAGGCAAAAGATACTTCTTGTGATGCCACGTCATATGTGCTATTTATTTAGGACTTATGGATTTCTAAATATGACTTTTTAATTATAGTTGCTTAATTAATGCATGATATATGCAAAATTATACTAATTAATAATAGGTAATTAAAACCATTCATAATACCTTTCTGTTAATTATAACTCAGCTTCTCATAAATATATACTCTATAAACCAACAAACCAAGCACCATTGGCGAGTCTCACTGTAAACAATCACACCATCAATAAGAATGTTTTTCCTAATTTTGGGTCATACGTTGTGATAGCAAGTGGGATTACAGTTAGAGATATTCTGATGTTACATCAGGTGAATATTTCGTCTCTTTCATTTTCAGTAATTATTCTGATTATTTTTATAATTAAATTATTGTTTGAAAATTTGTAAAGACCTTTATTTTATTTACTTACACCAACTTAGGTTATATTATTGGTAGTGACTCGACAAGCTTACGAATTAAAACAGCTCAACAAAAATAGAAAAAAATAAAAAAAATATGAATATATTCATGTATTTTTGATATTCCAAAATTTAGATACAATATTTCATTTACAGAAAAAGTAATAATTGATTTTAATTATACCAACAAGTTGTAAAAAATAAAGCAATGAAGAACAAGAAAAGTGTGGGTCCCATATATGTATGGCATAACCCAATAGTGGGTGAATTGAGTTTTCTAAAAATATTTTAGAATTTAAAAACAAAATATAGAATTCTAAGTGCAGCGAAAAAACATAAAACTTATGAAAATAAATTATGGATTAGAACTTCCTCACAATATTCTATTCATAAAAATAGAAAGACTATGCAAAGTGCATCTATTAATTAGAACTGCCTCACAATGTCTTATTCAATATTAGAATTTCTTTATGACGGAAAGCTATTGTATTTAGAATATTAGAATTTCACTATTATGACGGAAAAGGACTAATTGTATCTAGAACTTCCTCAATAAAGGTTAGAAAAAATCATATAAAAAAATTTGTAGTAAGAGACAGTTAATTGGAAATTAGAACTGCTTCACAGGAGACTTTAACTCAAGTTTTTAGAAAAGCTGAATTGAAACCCAAGTAGTGAAAATACTACTGAAAATCAGAAGAATAGTTTTAGAACTTGGTATATTCACTTATTAGAATTCCAGAGTTCTAATGTTCAGAAAAAGATAAGAACTATATTGTCAGTTTTAGAAAAGCATTAAATCCCATTTACAACTTTTAGCAATTTCTTAAAATATAAGACAGAAGTGAATAAAAACAGTAATCAAGCAAAACTCAGAAATGACAAAGATCAACACAGTGAATTTATAGTGGTTCGACACTACGCCTACATCCACTCCCGCAAGAACTCATCTTGAGACCTCAACTATGTTATTTCCTTGTTTTAAGGGGGTTTTTTACCCGGAAAGGAAAAAAAAAAAAAAAAAACCCCCCAACCCCAAACCCCCAAAAAGTACAAGGCAATAGATCAACACCTAGATCTACCCTTATATCCAGCACTAGAATTTTTGCAAGAATTCTGTTCTAGTTAACCTCAACCCTTTCTATTTTTGGTAGAGTACAGAAACTCAATTCAAGACATTAGAATCTCTCTCACGGAGAAGGTTGCTTGATAACCTGATTCACAATAGCTTCTAACCTAAGCTATTATACAATTGTTTATCAAATAAAAATCTGTCTACTAAAGAATACAGAATCTAAATAGACAGACAGAAATGCAAATATAAGCACAGGAAATCCAGTTTTTCAGATTAGAAAATTTTTTACAACACAGAACTGTTTTTCAAAAGTAGTTATAAAAATGTTTTTCTCTTTAAAGATAAAAACGTGAAGTATAAAGATGAAAAGAAGTGAAGTGTAAAGATGAAAAGAAAAATAGGAGTAAAGAGTAAGTTTTGAGAGATAAATGATGTGATCAATAGGTGAATACTCTTAAAACGAAAAGTCTTTCTTCCACTTAGTTCAAAACGTGAAAACACCTTTTTATAGAGAGATTTGTGACTCTCGTTTTTAGAAAGTGGATATGTTATTTTGAAATCAGAATATTTGCTTTCCTTATTTAGAAGATACAAAAATCTTAGTTACCAAAAATTTATTTTATCATTTTGGTAAGAAAATAAGAAACGATCTTCCTTTCCTTTAAACATAAAGATTTTCGAAAGCATTTTATTTGGAAATTTTTTTTTCTAAAAGATACTACTTACTAAAAACGAAAAATGAGATCTTCCTTTGTTTTAGGTAAGAGAATAAATTAAAAATCCTTTAGATATTCAAAGATAATTTCCGAAAAAGAGAACATATGATTTATTACCAAAATCGTTAGAGACATAATCTCTTTAATTTTAGGTAATTAAATCATTTTGATTTTTAAAGAATATTTTTGCATTTTGATTTTTAAAGAATATTTTTGAAAATAAAATTTTTGACGAAAGAGTTTATTTGAAGAATCTAATTTGCGAAAAATATTTTTGATGAGAGAAAGATTAGTTTATGTGCTTATAGATGAATTTTCTCTCTATCTGTTTTCGTCCCATCTTTGGGAGAATCCTTTAAAACCCCGGAAAAGGACCTCGGAAAACGTCATTTATTTTTTATATTTTTTTTTATTTGAAAAGGGTGATAAAAATCTTTTTGGATATACGATGCCGATAAATCGTCGGTCTTTTATAAAACATTTGATTTCGCCACCTGGCCATTATTTCGGCAATGGACGTTTCCCAAATTTATTTTATAAAGTGACCTTCAATTTAAATCCAATTGTATTCAAGGCCCTATTATTTAGAAAAACTGGTGCGTGGGCGAACCGCAATAAGGGTTCTGGGTAAGGGAATTAGGTAACGTCGATCCATTGGAAAACCGATGCGGGAAAAACCGGCCTCTTTTACCTACGATTATTCTAAATTGATTTTTAATTTTTAGAAAGGCCAATTATTTAAACCCCCACCCGGAATAAAGTCGAACCCGAGTTCCCTATGTGGAAAAATTAGT